GGGGTATTACCAGTGAAAATCAGCGAAGCAATTCTATAAAATCTCCAAATACAGAGAGCAGTAATTCCCAGATGGTGACAACTAGCTCAAATATTACAAAGAGTGGCCTTGATAATGGCTTGGAGCAGAATGTTGGCCCTATTAATGGCAGCTTGTGGAATGCTTGGAGCCAAAGAGTTGAGGCTGTTAGGAACTTAAGATTTTCCTTGGATGGGACTGTTGTTGAAGATGATTTTGTCCAGATACCAGAGACAAGTAAGGCAAAATCACCATCATTCTCATGTTCATTTGTTTATTTATTTTTAGATTAGATATCCATGCTCACATTTTTGATAAATAATCATTTATTCATGTATCTGAGGTAGACTTTGGGTCTTCATGTTGCTATATTCATAAGCTTTCTAAGGTTGATTTGCCAACATTTGTAATTTCATCAAAAGTCTGTACTCTTTCGCTGTCTAGGAAAAGATGTGCAAAAGGGTACTTGCCATAGAAGGAACAGAATATGACTAGATTTATATTATTTTTCCTTTTTCTTTTATTACTGTATTGCAGGTGGTGATAATGTTGCTGAACGTGACTTCTTACGGACTGAGGGGGACCCAGGTGCAGCAGGTTACACAATTAAAGAAGCAGTTGCACTCTCAAGAAGCACAGTCAGTTTCTGTTTTATTTATTAGTTGATTGGATGATATGCTGTTCCATTGTAGATATCTAATGTGAATGCAACTACATGTTGCAGAGCTACAGCTTAGATTGTGTGTTTCTAATATAAAATATTGATGCGGTATATGTTTGATATAACCATACTGATCCCTGTTATTTACTGATTTTGTTGAATACAGATTCCAGGACAACGGGCCCTTGCACTGCATCTCCTTGCATCTGTGCTTTATAAGGCATTACATAACATTTATCTCAATCCAGTTGGCTCTACTCTGACCAATAATAACGAAGTTGACGGTGCTGTTGACTGGGAAGCTGTTTGGGCTTTTGCACTGGGCCCAGAACCTGAGCTAATCTTATCATTAAGGTGATGAAAGGGAATTTTTGTTTTTAAAAGAACCATTAAGGTTATGTCACACTTTTTTTCTATTAAAATTTATAAATTGATTCATAAAAATAACTTTTCTTCTGAAATGTTGAGCCTTGATTGAATATTTTTAAATTTGTAGGATGTCTCTTGATGATAACCACAATTCGGTTGTTTTAGCAAGTGCCAAAGTTATTCAATGCATATTGAGCTGTGATTTAAATGAGAACTTCTTTGATTTCTTGGA